ATGTGAAGCTTTAGAACTGCCTGCTTTAGTGTTTATACCATTAATTTTTCCATCAACAACAGCTGTAGTTGCTCTACTTCCCTGCTAACACTTATTGGGTTGTCGGAAAAGTCATGACGTGTTTGCACAGATGGCACTAGTTCATTTTTGGAAGCACTAGAGTCATTCGCATCTATGTGATTGCTATGTCATTTGACAGCTGACAGTTCTAGCTTCATTCTAAAAAAAAACAAAACACAGTGATTTGGTTGCGTTTTGGAGATTTTACAACAAGTTGAAGATGGAAGACCAAAGTGTGCGTTTTTGCCATATTTTACTATTTTACTTCCATAAAGGGAAAAACGCGTGTCAAGTTTGTGAAAAGTTGCACCAAGTTTACAATGACAATGCTCTACAAAAATGTCATGCCAATGATAGTTCACGAATTCTGTGCTGGTGAGTTTGACCTCAACGATGCTCCTCGGTCAGGGAGTCCTACTGAGGTTGATGATGGCAAAATAAAGGCACTGATCGAGTCAAACTCACGTTACACGAGAGATTGCAGAAACATTGAACATCCATCATTCAAGCGTTCACGACCACCTGAAGAAGCTGGGATACATAAGCAAGGTCGATATTTGGGTTTCGCATGAACTCAAAGAAGTTCATTTATCGGCGCATATAAACATCTGCAATATGCTCATTAAACGTGAGGAAAACAATCCTTTTTTGAAGCGACTGATAACTGGTGATGAGAAGTGGATTGTTTACAACAATGTGGTGCGCCAATGGTCTTGGTCCCAACATGATGATTCGCCTCAAATGAGATTGAAAGCAGACATTCATCAGAGGAAGGTTATGCTCTCAGTATGGTGGGACTTTGAAGGTGTCGTGTTTTTCGAGCTCCTACCAGGAAACCAATCAATTTGGATGTGTACTGTCGGCAATTGGACAGTTTGAACAAATCCATCATCCAGAAATGTCATTTGTTAATTGTAAAGGAGTTGTGTTCCATCGCAACAATGTGAGACCACACACGTTTGATCACCTGTCAAAAATTATTGGAGCTTGGATGGGATGTGTTGCCACACCCACCATACTCGCCTGACCTTGTGCAGTCAGACTTCCATTTGTTTCACTCCCTTCAAAATTCCTTGTGTGGCATAACATTCAATTCAGATGAGGCTGTAAATCAGCATCTTGTTCAGTTTTTCGCAAATAAAGACAGGTCCTTCTATGAACGAGCAATTATGAAGCTCACTGCAAGATGGCAAAAGGTTATCGAACAAAACGGGCAATATATCATTGATTGATCTTTGTTCTTTATATAAATAAATGACCTTTGAAAAACATAGTCAAAATATGTCATGACTTTTCCAACAACCCAATAGTATCTTTCCATTTTAGCCATCCTGGGGATATGTAGTGGTGTGGTATTGTGGGTTCAGTTTGCATTTCAGATGATTAACAAAAGTAGAGCACTTTTTCATTTTTATTGGCCATTTGGAGATCTTTCTTTGTAAAATTTATTTTTATTTGCTTACTGGTTTCAGTTCTTTATGTATTTTGTACACGAGTCCTTTGTTGAATATATATTGGGGGTGCCAAAAAAATGTATATACATAACTTGAGTTCATCTTTTTTTTCCTTTCTTAAAATGTGTATACATTTTTAGCCATATATATTCGTGTGTGTGTGTGTGTGTGTATGTGTGTATATGGGTTGTTGGACATGTCTATTATCTTCAACTCTGCTGGTTGCCTTCTTCATGTCTTTTGATGAATTAGAAGTTCTTAATTTTAATACAATTAATCAATTTTTGCCCCTTGTATGGTTAGTGTTGTGTTCTGATTTTTTTTTTTTTAAACCTTGCCTTTTTTTTTTTCTGGTAAAAGCTTTATTTAATCTTTCACATTTGAATACACAATTTGGAAGTGATTTTTATGTATTTTATTGTGTAAGGTAAAAGCAAAAATATATTATTTTCCTATATGAATATCCAGTTGTCTTGGAAATATACTATATTGAAAAGATCATCCTTTTATCACTGTACTGAAGTGTCGCTTTCGATATAAATTGAGTGACTACTTATGTGCAGGTTTTTCTTGGACTTGCTTTTTCTGTTAATTGGTCAGCTTGTCTATCTGTTTGCTATCACTCTATGTTAATTACTATAGCTTTATAGTAGCAATATGGTTTTAAGTGGTTATAATTTCCAATAATATGATTGGAAGTCAAATGCTCAAAGTCTGAACTTAATCTTCTGCATAAATTATAGCTTACACATATTCTACTGACATAAAATGGGGAGGGCAGACAAGGTAAAACTTATGAACAAGTTTTAAATATCCTGGCTAGTAATGGGAAGAGGAGAATGTAGATTATTAGATATTTAGTGCTGTGTTTAAGTTTAGTAGGGAACTGGGGCCCTACTTGCCATGTACGGGAAGAACGATTTAAGACAACAAAAATTCAGGAGTTCTATACAAAGTATATGAGTATAATCAAGTACAAAAGGGTATGTTGTAAACCAAAGACTACAAATGAGTAAGATTATCAGATAAAATACAGGACACAACTTGGTTAAATTTTTTTCAGATAAACATTTTGCTCCCCAGGGAAATCTGGCAATGTCTGAAGACATTTTTGTCACTATACGGGTTGCTACTGGTATTTAGAATTAGAGGCCAAGGATGCTGCTAAACCTCCTACAATGCACAGGCCAGCTCGCAGAACAAAGAACTATCTGGTTCAAAATGTCAATAGTGCCAAGGTGGATAAATCCTGCACCGAAGCAACAAGAGAGCGTCATAAGAGGAAATAGTTCAAACTAAAAGCAACATTTTGTTCAAATGTAAGGATTATGTTGATGTGACAAATGACAGAAGTCTAAGATAGACATGAAAGTTTTTAACTTGAAGCGAGAGAACTACTGTTTGAAGTGTAGCATCTATAATTGAATTTTTAGACGTTTCAGTGAGTTTTCAAAGAAATTCAGAGCATGGAGAGTTCAATGGAATGAATTCTGAAGTTTCTTCATCTATGAAATGTGTTATTAGCTAACCCGAAAGTTTTCAGCTTAAATTCTGCCACTCTTTGATATGTTTAATCACTTAAACTTCTTGACAATGACCATGAAGAGCATACATATATATATGAATCACAGCCATATTCCAGCGCTAGATCTCAACACTAGCTGTGGCCTGATACATGTGCCTGCTTCCCATTTTGTCTATTGTAAAATGCGGGATATGGGTCAGATGATCTGAAGGATCCCTTCTAGAATTTAACTTCTATATAATTTCTTAGTTCTTGTCAAAATACAAATTTCAGAACAAAAACATATTTTTCAGTGACAGGTCTGATACCAATGTCAATGGCTCAGCCTTATTTAAAGGTAGCAAGTTTATGTTTAAGATGGGTAATTTACAAATTCCTAAGCAAGTGAATATGATGAAACTGATACTTGTGGTTTTCTTACTGCAGTACAAAATAATCAACTATTTTCTCCTATTATCAGCGAGAGACCATGGGGATGTATTTCCCAAACCTGAATCTTGTCTTAACATTTCAGGACACAAATTTTAATTGGCAGTTACTGCTTCTCATGCTCTTTTGTTTCGGGAAATCCTGTTAGAAAGCAAGATGATAAAATGACTCCCCCACCCCATGTATAATATAATACAGCACATAGCCATGGTCACTTATAGGGAGGGAGTATCCTTTTCAACCAGTAGATGAAACTGCAGAATTGTTAAAGCAAATGTAGAAATTTCAAAGGAACGTTTCAAAGAATGTTGCGAGGTAGGAAATGCCTGAATAAGCAATAAGCACATTAGAAACAAAGCAATGGACCAAATAGCTCTTTGTCGTGGGAGCTGGCTTTTGCATTGTAGGATGTTTACCAGCATCTCTGGCCTCTACCTACTAGATGCCTAAAGCACTCCCCACTCCCACAGCTACGATAATCAAAAATGTCTCCAGATATTGCCAAACTTCCCAAAGGACAAAAGCACCCCAATTCAGAACCACCGAGAAGGCAAAAGTTATGCAAACAGGTGATCTATAATTATGCACAATAAAGGTTAATCTCACTAGTGAAAGAAGCCAGACACAAAAGTGAACATGTGGTTTCATATACATAAAGTATCAAAATAGACAAAACCAATTTATGCTGTATGTAGTAAATTAGGATAATGGTTGCCCTTGGGGGGCGGGGCGGACAATGGGGAGGGGTGCCTGGAAGGCAGGAGGATGAAACTCAGAAGTGTCAGTAATGTTCTGTCTTGATCTGGGTGGTGGTTACATAGATGAAAATTTATCAAGCATTTACGATGTGTACTTTTCTATACATGTACACCCACAGTCGGCCTTCCATATCCTTGGGTTTCACATCCATAGATTCAACCAACTGTGGAATAAAAACAGTATTTTTGATACACGGTTGGGAATTTGTGGATTCAGAGGGCCAACTGTGTGCATTGTTCTATTCCACTTTATAAAGGGACATGAAGGGACTTGAGCATCAGTGGGTTTTGGTATCTGCAGGGGGTCCTGGAACCAATTCCCCTGTGAATACCAAGGATAACTGTATTTCCATAAATTTAAAAAAAAATGCTATAGGAAATCACTACCCTTCGCCTTTTTCATAATGAATGAAAACTTTGTAGCTCTTACTCTTTGAATCATAAACAACACTTATTATCCAGCTACATGTTAACAAAGAGTTTTAAATCAAGTTATAAATTAAATTTAAAAGTTGGTCATCTCCATGTATTTCTTTTAAAAACAGGCATTTAACTGAAAAAATCCACTTCAATTAATTCATTTGGTAGAAGTTACTTGTTCTCCTGGGATTTGTCTTTATTCCTATTGGCAAAAGCCTCAAAAACAAGTCTTTTTTTTTTTTTTATAGCTGAGCCATCCTGCCACCTGTTGGCAGCTCAGCGGCAGCTCAGCTCGGGCCGGGAATTCAACCGGCGACCCTGTAGCTCAGAGCTCGTACTCTTGAGCGAGCTCTTAACCAACTGAGCCACTTAGCCGGCCCGAAAAGAGATTTTTTACAAGTTCAAAATTCTATATAAACAAACTGTCACAAATGAGGCATTTCTGTGATGTACTGCAGTTTCCATCTATTGCTTAAACTGGAGAGATATGATTTAGCAACTGAGGCAGTTTTGTCTGAAAATAATCTACATTTATTACAACCCAGGAGTTAAGAATTATTTTACTATGTATAAGGATGAGATTCAAATGCTTTTATACATAAAGATGTAGTAGTGTCTGTATTCTGCTTTTCCTGCACATACATTATTTCAAAATAATACTCGGACTGGTACAAGAACACTTAATAGGTAATAAAGAAAAAAAGAAAATTAAAAAAAGTTAAATCTACACTAAATCTCAATTGCATTTACTTAAAAAAGACACTTTAAAAAGATTAATATTGTAGTTTCTCACGAGTCTTAAAGAACCACATTTTAAAAATACTGCAATGAAAAAACACGTATCATCATAACCAAATGTGTGATTTATTTTTGGAGAAAAATAATTAAAACTGAGGCTTTTCCAATAAAAGGGAGAAATAACAATAAAAGATCATACCCTGGTTACACGTTAATTACCATATTCTGTACAATGTGGATGTGCTCAACATGTATTCAATGACAATATGAATGAACATTGAGATTTAAAATAATCACAAACCACTTGCTAATGTTGTAAATAAATGTTGAAATAAATACCTAAAAATAATTAAATTTTATAAACTGAAGCCTTTGACAGTGTCATAAATCCACCCAAATGTTAAGTACAAACAGTACAGTAAGTAAATTGACATTACTGCTAGTTTCCACTTAATTTCTTCATAATTTGGCTGTCTGGTGTTGCATTTGTAAAGATACTTCCTACAAACACATGGGTTCCCCAGAGACTATGGCGAATCACTTTACAGCAGCCAAGGTCATCGACAGAGAATCCTAAATGTCGATAACGTTCGTCTGTTTCGAAAAGAGTGTTGTTTGTATATGGTCCAAAAAACTACAAGAAATAAAAAATGAAGTCATACTTTCATTAGCAAGAAAGACAATGGAATAATAATTTTATGCAAACATAAACACATATTTTAATACTCCAAATATTTAAAAAATCAAATAAGAACTAAAAAGGTCACATGCAACACCTAACTGCCCTAATTTCTCCTCACTCCCATCCCTGTGCATTCTGCAAATGTAAAAAGAGTGGTCTAACAAATCTCACCTTATCTAGAACCAAATGCAGAACAGTACATTACCTTGAAAGATGGAATAAACTTTAGACAATCATCTATGGTTCACCTATATCATTCTCAAGATAAAGAAACTAAAACCCAGAGTAAGTTTTTCATTTCTAGTCTATACTCTATCTTACTTAACTTTGAGAAGAAATAGTATATATGCCTATCTTAAGGTTCAAAACAATTTATTACTATTTTTAATGGAAAGATATACCCAGAATTTAAAATGTGACAACAGTGGTTCAGTTATTTTCTTCAAAATATATATAGTTTTGTAAGTGTTAATTTTCAAAAAGTTACTTTTCTAAATAGTTCTTTTACCATCCATATTTCCTAAATTCTAAAAATAAGTTTTTCGTCCTTAGAGAAACTAATGATTGCTTATTTTCAACTCAGAAAAAGTAAACACAGAATTCAATGTACACTAAATAATGAAGAAGCTTAAATGTGAGTGATAAGAGGTCCCTCCAAGTTGTTAATGCAACTGACTCACTGTGGTACTTCTTTGGGTAAAATTGTGAGGTTTTAAAAAAGTCTTAAACAGTCTATTTTTATCAAGGCTATAGTTATAAACAATTTTATAATAAAAACCATTCCTACTTCAAATTATGTAATCTGGCTTTCAAACTGTATTTAATTACTCACTGCCAAACCAGATGATGGGTCAATAAAGTCAGCCCAATAGCCTTCAGCTCGAAGAGCGTAGCATATTTCCTTAGCACCACTGATGAACTACATGGAAAAAGACACAAATTATATGCTCAAGATAGCATCATTGCTACAGATTTTTATTTTTAATAAAAATTTAAATATCTTTTGCTTCAGATAGATAACTCAATAAGATTAATGAAAATTAAAAGTGATAAATTAGGCTGTACAGTCTTAAGATTATTTTCACCAGTCCAAAGTTTAATGGTTCATATAACACTTTCATTTCTTTCAAAAAGTCTAAATTGTATATTTTTTCTTCTAAATTATTTCTTATTTTAGGAACTATTTCTAATCAGTTCTGTGCTATTAACACCCAAATTTGTCATGAATTATAAGTTATAGTTACTATGAAAATGTTAGAAATAAGGTAAGAAAGGAAAAACAAAATATTCATAATGAAAAGGTCTCAACCATTCATTAATAAGAATGTTTAAAAACATATACCATATTTTGCTGTGTATAATGTACACATTTTTGCCCAAATTTGTAAGGGAAAAATAAGGATGCATGCATTATACATGGGTAGTACTAATTCCGTATCTATATAAGTTTTTAAAATTCTTTTATTTATGCTTATAAGTTAAAAGTGTAACTCTAGAAATCAATAACCATATCCGTATGCAAAAATAGTACCCTGGAATATGAAAATTGGTTTTGTTGAACTTATAAGGAACTTGCAACGACAGAGAGTTCTTGGCCTTCTATGAGGAGTAAATATTGTAAATTTGTTACCAGTACATAAAATTTCTTGTACCTTGTATCTGTTCTTATGTTTTATAATTATTTGTTACTAAAATTTCTTGTACCGTAACAAAAGCTTTTTGTCCCTGAAAGTTTGGGCCAAAAATGTGGGTGCACATTATACATGGCAAAATACGGTACTTGTTTGTGTGTCCTTCAAAAACACATCTATCCACTCACATAGTCATGACATATTTCTGAAAAGGCACATAGAAATAATAGGATAAATGGATAGATGGGGTACAGGGCTGGATAGGATGCTCACTTTTCGTTATATACTTCTCTATTATCTTTTGCATAGTATATAATTGCTACATATCATGTGCATGTATCACCTATTCAAAACCTTGGTCTTAGCATTCTAATTCCTATGATGTCTTTATTCATTTTATCAGAAGTCTAACCAGTGAAAAACACAGTAACAAATATTAGGACCAAGTTAGAATGTTTAAAAAGAGGACCCGATCAGAAATGTTTAAAAACAAGGGCACACAGTTCCACTTACAGCCGTAACACAGTGACAGGGACCAAACCTGCCACCTGCTGAAAACTGTAAAACTGACAAAAATATATAAGGCAACTGTTTTTAGACACCAGTCAGACAAAGCTGTCATCTTTGAGAGGGGGGGAAACAGATGAGGTGATCCCCATACTTGCTCAAGTTTTGTCAGGGGACACCTGCTTGTTGTAGGGCAAAGAAGTGGATTACAAGCAAAGTGATGGTGTCACCGAGCTGAGGAGGTAGAAAGTAAGAATTTTGGACTGCTGAAGCATCTGGAATTTGTAGGGTAGAGTACTGAAGAAGAGGGAGATGAGCAAACAGGGCTCCACAGTAGTCTGCAGAGCAACTGGCCCTGGTTCCATAGCCAAGCGCTGAGCCGTACAGGCACAAGGTGAGATCCTGTGAGGCCTAGCAGAGTGCCGGCTGTGGGGCTGAGCGCTTAATGGCGATATCATGGACTGCAGGGATAAGTCACATGGATTTTTGTCCCACTCAAAATAGAGACCTCACTGGGCACCTCTGGCATTCTGCTGAGATCCTTAAAAGTCAAAGACTTAGGAATATGGGCCATATCCTAAATGAGGAGTTAGCAAGCTACAACCTAAGGGCCAATCCAGCTGGCTTCCTGTTTGTATAAATGCAATTTATTGGAACACAGCCATGCCTGTTCATTTACATACTGTCTATAGTTGCTTTAACAATACAAGGGTAAAGTTGAGTAGTTGAGTCCCTCTAGCTTACCAAGCCTAACATATTTACTATCTGCCTTTACAGAAAAAGTTTGCCAACCCCTGCTACAGAGGTATATACGAGTACAACTTAAGCTAACCTATTTTCTCCCAATACTCTCTTGAAAACTACTGAAAACGATATGATAATATTGTATTCTTTAGATTATGTTCATATTTAATAGTTACACTTATTGCTGTATTTAATTAATCCTCATAATTCATAAAAAAAAGAATAACTACTGAATATGGTCTAGAAAAGTCATTAGAGTATGTATCAATTTCATGAAGAGATGTGCCATACACAAAAACTAGAAGAGCAAAACAACATAATCAAACGTTTGTAAAGGTTAACTAAAAGAATCCCAAATTATCACAAAAAGAACCAGTTTAAATATTTCTCTTAAGGATTCTGTTCATCATTAGCTAACACTGACATCTGCTGGAAAAAAAATAGAATTGATTTAAACCATAAAACATAAGCTATATGTGGTTCTAAAATAATCACTAACATTTAAAATAGAAAAATGTTTTTTTCCATAGGAAAAAAAATAGCTTCATAATAAAACTAAAAATTCACAAGATATAAGCATGTGGCCATTTCAAAGCCTGTAATTTCCTTGCTAACTACTAGCATATGACTTGCTCATGATTGTTAACTACTGCATAAACTTTAGCAAAGCTATATGTGTGATTTTTAAGTATTATGACGTCATACCATGGAATACTTTATTGAGTATATAAATTATAATACATTTTTACAAATGAAGAGAACCATACATCTAACCCTAGAGAAAAAAAAAATTCCTAACATTATCCTGCATGGAAATTAGTAATTTTTTCAACTATAGTTAGCTAAGATTCCCCAAGTGAGTTATTCCTAACCTGTACACAGGCACGGAATATTCCTTTCTATCTTGTAGACAAATTGATATAACCCAACAACAAACTCTTAAGAGAAATAATTAATATAATTTTTAAATCTAATACTTTAAGTTACCTCTCATCATTTCTCAGGTTGGTAAAAATGAAAAGAAATGCTATTATAATATCCAGGGTAACCTAGGATGACAGCATATACACTAAGACAATTCTTTTGGTGGGCAAACTGGCAGCATCTGTCAAAATTTCAAATGAATATATACTTAATTCAGCAATTATCTATTTAGGAATCTATAGATATGTGTGTGTGCATAAAAAATACTTAAAATATATTCACTGCTTGTAATAGCAAAAGTCTGATTTTCAACTTATAAATTACTAAGAAAAATTTTAAGTAACTAAAAAAATTTACGGTTTGCCCATGCAATGTAATACAAAGCAGATTTTACAAAGAATGAAATATATGTATGTGTAATGTTATGGATTACAGAGAGGAAGAGGGGGCGATAGCTATGAAGAGGTTATCTTACTTTTTTGTTTTTATTCTGTTTTCCAAATTCCTAAAACAGACCTAAATTCAAAAAAAAAATTGAGGAAAGTACTGGACAGAAGCTAAGTTGTGCAGATATGAAAAAAATCATGGCACCGTCATTCTCACAAAAGATGTAAGTTTGTTAGTATTGAAATCAGTCAGAGAATTAATAAAGGATAGAAAAGACACCCTACATTTTAAAACACTGGCTCATTCCTATTTAAATGCGATCATAGAATTAAATTGTCAGCAACTGAAAGAATTACCTTTTCTAAAAGCATTTCTCTTTCATTTTCTACTTCCTCGCTCCAAACAGTCATATCATTCTTAGTTTTCTGTGTTACAGTCAGAATCATTAGTTTGTTGGTGGACACTTCTGGAAACAGTGACTGAAAATCTACAAATGAAATACAAATAAAAATTCCAGGGAGAAAATAATTTTTTTTTAAATAGAAGGAACAGTGCATAAAAATACTTCTTTAGAAAAGTGATGATTAAGTTAAATCACTGTGGTACCAAGTTAGGTTTATAAATTTATATTATTTTTGAAAAGGAAGAAATAAACTTAGTTTTGGTTTGCTGCTTTTGTTGAAAGAACTGTAATATTACTGCCAACAATTCTGAAAAGTAAGTAGGGTTACATATTATCGGTCTTGTAATCTTCAATAAAAGTTTATTATTGAGATTTTCCTCAATATCAGAGATCATGAAATTAGAGCTGTAAAAATCACACAGAAGTGGAATGACTTTAGGGAAAAAGTCCTACTTAATGAAAGCATGAAGTTAGAAGTCAGGGGACATTTGAAAGCCTTTCTCTGGGACATGCAATCACTTCCCACCAGACATGTTAAAATATTAAGTAAAATATAAAGCATTACAATTCCTATGGCGTACACTATTCAACACGTTAAAAAACTAGTGCCATTATCTAATACACATCAGTGTAAAAGTGTAGGGAAGCACAACATACCTCTTCGCAACAATTCTGGACATGTTTGGATTGCACACTCTACTCTGGCACTTTCAAAGTAAGTTTCTGCACTGTTAATTTCTTGTTCGACAGGTGCATCATTACCCTAAGGGAAAAATACATATAAGTAAACAAAATCTGAAGTTCAAATGAAATATCTTGCCTGTTATGAACTTGTCTTCCCTAAAAATTTTTTTTTTCATAATCCTAATCTGTCAGTGTTTTCTTACATACCTAAACTTTTCTCTATGATGAATATAAGACCTGAAAATTCTAAACACAAACAAAAAATGTTGAATAAAAAAACCATGAATGTATAAATATATTGATATTCTAAGACTTGACATGAATAGAAGATGGCTAAGAAATTAAGTAAAACACCATAATTATGTCTTACAACGTCACCTTTTTGTGGTATCTAATTATCCTTTCTTTTTGTTCATTCTGTAATCTGTAAAAAGGGGATAATAACACTAACTTACAAAATAACTTGACTAAATATACAGCTCTCCTACAGGAAGAGCTTAGAGGCTTTTATTCAACCGAGAGTTACTGGGAACCTACTGTATATCAGCACTATGAACAAATATATGCAATCCAATGTGAAAAGTGCTACAGAGTTACGAAGAAAGTCTCCAAGCAGTATAGATGGGGAAGAAACTTTCTTTGCTGGGAGAAATCAGAAAAAGGTTGAAATCATATTTGACTTACATGTTAATTAATGTCTAGGTTGCACAGGTAGAGAATAGGTAGAATATAGGCTGGGAATTCAAGAGGAAAAATAGTCCAGCAAGAGATAATAACAGTGCCAACATATGCAATGGCCAAAGAGAATAATGTATTTAAAGAAAATGAAAAGTATTCTGTGATTGGGGTGCAGAGAGAGTAGGAAGTAGTGGGAGGTAAGGTGGGAAGGGTCAAAACTGTAGAAAGCCATTTATGCCACATTAAGAAATTATGACTTTATAAGCAATGAGGAATAGCAAGATAAGATACAAAAAGTTAATGCTAGTATTGCTGTGGAGGATGTATGGTAATGAGGACGAGCAGGTGATAAGACTAGTAATAGTCCACCTATTCATCACTTACTGCTTTACATACACATACTTTCGTATTTAATCCTCATAACAACTTTGGGCCAGGGATTATTATTATTCCCATTTGATATATAAAGAAACAGAGGATCAGAAAGGTAATTTTCTCAAGATCACAAAATTAAGTAAATGGCAGAGTTAACCTTTGGACCCAGGTTTATCCTATCTCCATAACCTATTATACTATAAAGTCTCTAAGAATCTGGGTAAGGTAAGGTAGCCTGGAACTCTGGTAATATTAGTGAGAATTGAAAGGACACAAATAATTTAAGAGCTACTTTAAGGCATACAACCAAGAGATTTTATTACTATTTACAGCAGTATGATGGAGAGAGGAGTCAAGGTTGGTGCTATAATTTTTATCTTGGGATAATAAGAGGATAGCTAAGTCATTCATACTAATAATATGGGAACAAGGCCAGGTTTTGAGAGAAAAAAGGACTACTTCAGTATTAGATATGCAAAATCTGGGAATTGTGAAACATCAGATAAAGATGTTTGGCAGGCAGATAAAAACATAGAACGAGAAATGTCAGAAACAGAAATATGTACTAAGTTAGAAACACAGCCTGTGAAGAAAGCCAAGGGGATAAGGGACCAGGGAGTAATTGAAATGAGAGGATGAAGACCAGAAATGTAAGGGAAATATCACAGTAGACAAAGGAGAAGCCAGAAAAGACTGAGAAGGAATTATCTGAGATAAAAAAGTCAGGAGAGGTCAACTGTGTCCCAATATTAGGTTACCCTATATAACCTACAATAATTTTATGGGGTTATTGCTTTTAATAATATGGTTTTGATAAAAAAGAAAAGGAAAAAGCAGCTTGAAACTGTAAAAATGTGAAAAATGGTAAGCATCAGGGGTTTGACAGAAACTCTGAATTGCATGTAGAGTCCTACCTGATTGCACAATAAAGTAATATTCGTTTAAAAACTCATTTAAGAAAACTAATTATGTAATACCAGTTTTAAAAAAAATCATTAAAAAACCCCTCATAAATTGTATATAAAAAAAAACCCTATTTATAAGCCTTCTTTTTTGGGTTACTGCATCTGAAGAATTTCAGAGATCTTGAAATTTTCTTGTCTTTAAATGGCTAGAGGAATATAAAACTAGTGGGAATTTGGTCCATATACAAATTATAATTACCATTTATAAAAGTGAAAAACAGGCAATCTAAATTTCTAGTAATATAAAAATAATTAAATTATCTATATTTGATAAAATAAGCAGTTATTTAAAAAGAAATTTTTGAAGAATTATTTAACTACCTAAAAAAGACTATAATCTAAAGCAAAAAAAATTATAGCATACACTATGTACAGGACAATGCCAAATTTTTAAACTCTATATATGTTGTTTCTGTATGTATTGGAATTAAATACTTTTCTACCTTTCCAATGAAAATAATGTTCATGTAATCAGAAATTAATATAGCATTAATAATTAGAAAAACAGAATAAATGATATTAACAATTTACCTGAAATTCATTCACATATTGTGCCATCACAAACTCATGTCTTTCACTTGATAAAGGTTCTGCTAGAATATCAGGTACAGTTTTATGAGCCTGGCTTTTCTTCTGTGATATGGTCCCATGGAGGTGACAATCAAAACCTATGTTCCCAGGAAGCTGGAATCTCTGGTCCTGAGGTCCAAATGGTCCCATAGTTTCATCAGGCCATACTGTTCGAGAGCCTGAAGAGAAACAACAAAATTAATCATTTTCTCCTTAATAGTCAAGTGCATTGGTAGACTGAATGAATACAGTAAGTCCCCGACTTACGAACGAGTTCCGTTCCAGGAGAACATTCGTGAGTCGGATTCGTTCGTAAGTCCGACAAAGTGAGTCTTATATACCTTTGACACAAATATACAATGTAAAGCATAAAAAAACTAAACACACACACAAAAATACTGTAAATAAACTATTTTTACTTTTACAGTTACCTTAAAATGGTGGTACGGTACGGTACAACAACTGGCATATAGGGGATTGCATGGAGTGGACTGACAAGAAGAGAGCTACTAACTGGAGGAGGGAGGGCAGGGGGGAGATGGTGGAGCTGCTTTTCCTCTTGCTTCCGGACACGCTGGGCTCTGACTGAGCACTGTACTACTGTGCACTACCGCTCTGTACAGTAAGCACACAGCAGCACAACTGGGACAATGTCCGGCAGACACGTGAGCTACTTCCACAATTTGTTCGCATCTACGAATGTTCGTAATGTGAGGTCAGTTCGTATCTGTGAAAGTTTGCAACTTGAATGTTCGTAAGTCTGGGACTTACTATACTCTTCTTATAACTGGGCATTTTTTACCTAAATGATGGAGTTTTGAAATTTACTTTCTTGTATGAATATAAATTAGTTTCAAGTCATTTTCAAAACACTACTCAAAGCAACCAGTTGTCAACTACAGGCAAGTCCGTAATAGGAAAAGATTCAATACAGTGCTGTAATCCATATTATGTAATACTTGATAGTCATTAAAAAGAATGTAGAAATCTTTAGTGATAGTGAATGAAGTCCAAGACATACTACATTATAAGGAAAAGCTAAGTCAAAGAATATCATATATGACATTTATTTTACAACCTTATATTTATGATTTTCAATTCAGGAAAAAAAAAAAGATCTAAAAGGAAACATATTGAACTTAACAGGGGTTACCCTTGGGGAAGGGAGTGACGTTGCTGCTAACTGGTGGCACAAAACATTAATTGGCTGGGAAAAATCCTGTATGAATCAAAGTGACAAAATGCCGTTTACCAGCCACATGAGTTAATATAGACTAAATACTTACAGAAGAATAGACTACCCTTTAATAATATGCTAACTTGTGAAAAAGGTAGTATATTTCTGGACTTTCAAAAAGACCTAGAAAGGAATAAAGTAGAAAACTAAACAAAGGAATACTCAAGAGTAGGAGTTTTGTTTACAGAAATGCTGAAGACATTATTTGCCAATAAAAATATTTTTCAACTCTGCCCAAACTGAGTGACTAAAAATGGCCATTTCAATCTGGCTGCTCCATCACTAGAGTATAAGTGCCTCCATATCCCTCCTCTTCCACACCTGTGACAGACATCATCCATTAATCATGAAACGCTTTCTTGCTGAACCCAGACATTATCTCATACTTCTCAATCTGAACACTAGCCCAATATTTCTCAAACTTTAAAATATTTAAGAATCATCTGAGAGCTTGTGAAAATGCAGATTCTTATTTAGTAGGTCTGGAGTGGGGCTCAAGCTTCTTCATTTCTAACAAGTTTTCAGATGATGCTGAGGCTACTAGCCTGAAGACCATTTTGACAAATAAGGCTCTGGACAGGCCCTAATGATCAACTGGAGTCAGTTCGTGAGCTCAACCATAGCAGCTATTTTTGAAAAAGGTGGGTTTTAAAGGCTATTCAGATCTAATAGTCTCCTGAAAGAAAATAAATATCCCATATTAATAGATTTGAGCATATTTTCATATCTTTATTGGAAATTTAGGTTTTCTCTTCCAGGAATAGTCTGTTCATATCCACTTGTAAATTTTTTATGTGGTTTTCTACTGTTTTTTTTTCCTATTGGTCTAAAAAATTCTTTATATATTTAGGAAACGAACACTTTATATATTCTGAATGACAAATCTTTCATTTATGATACATATATGTTTAGCCTCCAGATGATATAAATTGGAGTAATAAGAGACGGAGTTATAAAAATGGGGCAAGAAAACCAGGGAAGGCTTAGCATGCCCAAGTGAGCTGATATTACATTGTAAGTAATGTGTTGTATGAGAAAAGGATTCCATGCCCAACCCCTTGAGGATGCATGATGTTAGGTTTCTAAGAGCCCTCCCTTAGTACTTTAATGTGCATTATAAACCTCCAAAAGAGGACTATGGCATATATATAGCATTTCTAAAATTTACCTAATCGCAGAACTTAAAAAATGTTTTTAGACCTTGAAAAATTTTCATAGCCTGAGGACAGTTTGGGAACTGCTACTGAAAGCAGTGACAGATAACCAAGGTTTATCAAGGAAGTGACACAACTAAAATGTTTTAGGATTAATACGATAGTGGTGTGCAAAATGGATTAGACGAAGCTGACTTTGTAGATAGAAGGTTCAATACACACATATATAAAAAGTGCCAGCTGTATTAAAAAAATTCAGCAAAGAATGGCTAAAAGTAGTAACATAGTTCAATAGGATTAAAAGATTTGTTTCAGGGAGGATTGCAGGTTTGAAGAGAGAGAAACTAAAGTTTAAGAAAGTAAGTTTTAGAAACCAATATTCTTTCCTTTTAATATTGTAACTTTCTGACACAAATATTTAGGCAGAGCTCTGATTTTATTTTCAATGGGATCAACTCAACTTTAGAAAATCTGTAAAACCTTAAGAAGAAATATTACAGGAACACAACTTAAAATGTTTTGAAACAATTACAAATAAAGCAATAATAATGTTTACTTACATATATCGGGAGGTGCAGTGGCCACATGAGGCTCATCAGAACCTGAAGATCCTGCAGTTGAAAAGGCTTTGGGATTGACAACTCTTCTAACTAAAGAGTAAAATCCTGGGAGATAGGAAACCAGTCTGGATCTGTTACAGAGCACCTAAGAACAATACACATATTTAAATTATTTGTTCTGGGTATACATGCTATACTTAGAGACAATCTCTTGCAAATCCTCACACTGCAATGTGTCTTTAAAACCAACACATATTCTACTACTGATAACCTACCATATGACAAGCATTATGTATAGTTATAATTTAAAAAATAAACATGAACATTCAAAGAAAAAAATAATGAGTTACTTTGGGTAAGAGGATGTGGCTTTTCCAATAAAGGCCAGAATCAAGAGTGCCACACTAAAGAGAAGGGGAACATCTAAAAGTTGCCCTATTTAGCAATACTTTTTAAAAAGGAAGCAAAATAAGATTCTTCTACTTTCGAAATACAGAACTTTCAAAACCTTTTGTTAGGACCAAAATTTGTTTACTTTTTAACGCTTCTTTTACTGCTATAAATTGTGCTCTTTGAACTCCCATGTCATCCTTCCTCTTGGTTTTATGGCAATGTCTGCTTTCTTCCATTTTAGCACATATCTATGTGGTACATTTTCTGCCCCTACGCTCATTTCCTAGGTCAGTTATGATGGATGAATGTATAAACATCTTTCACGAGTAAACTTTTAGCAAAATACTCGAGTCAGAATAATTTATTGCAGGGGTTGGCAAACTATAGTAAAACACAGCCTATTTGTTTTGGTAATAAAGTTTTATTGTATTTAACACAACCACACCCATTTTTTTATGTATTGTCTATGGCTGTCTTCATGCCTTAATGGCAAAGTTAAGTAGGTACACAGACAACTTATGGCACACAAGGCCTAAAATATTTACTACCTGGCATTTTACATTAAAGAAAAAAATTGCTAGCTCTTAGCTTAGTGAAAAAAAAAACATATGAATATCATCCCTGTAAAATGCTATTAAAAGATCTGAATAATTAAGAGATCTTTGAAGGAGCAAAAAGGAAGTTTCATGGAGGTTTTGAAGAAAAAGTAGAAATTTGTGGGGGACTTTCAGGAACCCAAGTATGGAGCCGCAAAAGGTATATTCAAAAGTGACGAGTTCAGTGAGGGAGAGTATAAGGAATGCAGTAAAAAACAGGCTTGAAATTTTACTTGTGGGCAACGACAAAAGGCTTTATACTAGACACAGACAGTATGGCCTATTACATCAAGATACCAAATCAGAAATTCTATTCTATAGGCAAGGAATAAAGTAAACTGATAAAAATAAGAAATGTTTTAAGGAATATACCATTAAGGGCAATGTAGAGAATGGACTGGAGTGCGGTTAGAGAGGTGGTATGAAAACTAGTTACCAGGATGTTGAAATAGTCTAGACATTTGATACTTTAGAATCATTCTTTTTCCCTTTCTCATAGCATTCTGAATTCCAACCCATGTGTTGTTTCTATTTCTTACCATAAGTGCAAGAGAACAGCCTAACTGGTCTTTCTGCCTCTCTGACATAATTTCTCACTAATTTGACCCTCCCTACCCTTACTCCACCCTTTAGTCACATAAAAATATCACCTGGCATTTCCTGTATTTCTCTGTCTTCTTTTATACTGTCAGAAGATTTCTTCAGCTCACATGCCTTTTTCCCTCTCCTTCTAAGCTTTACAAAGTCCAACTCTTTCTTCAAGATCTGGATAAATGAAATCTCCTTTATGTGTCTTCAAAGTGCAAGGCATGTGTCTAGGGCATTCTACCCACCTGAAAATTTAAGCATCCTCCCTTGGGTCTGTACCCAATCTGCTCAAAGAGACAAAATGGTAATTATTAGGCCTTTTACCTACTAGACCAGGGGTCGGCAAGCTGCGGCTTGCGAGCCACATGCAGCTCTTTGGGTACATTCCGTCTCAAAAGTTTGCCGACCCCTGGAAGAGCCAATCCTGTCCCTCACGACAATTTAAAAATTATTCTAGAGCCATAAATTATTTTTACATAATCACCATTATGTGAATAATATCCTTTAAAAATTTTATAAATGAAACAATGATAGTTTAATTTTCATTTCAACTTTACTTCAGAGCCTGCAGCTTGTGAGCCGCAGTTTGCTGACCCTTCGTGGCTCTTCCAGCTCAAAAATTTGCCAACCCCTGTACTAGACAAACTCATCGTTTTGAGTATTTCTATAATACTGTAAATTTACCTTTACAATTGAGGACATTTAACAGACTGAATATGCCTCAGTATCTAAAGGCAATTTAAAATTTTAAATTTCAACAATATTTGAGCAAAGCCTCAAAACAGTATGAGGCTCAATGAAGGGGGCAATAGGAAATAGTAAAAAAAATGGATGTTAGTTACTATGGGCCAGGTCCTGTGTTAAGTGCTTCACATGCAATGTCTTACTTAACTTGCACAATACTTCTATATACTATTATTAACATTAATTTAAGTATGAGTATTGAAATATTATTTGTGATCCTTCACATTGCTTCACAAGCAGAAACAAATTATTTTAGAAATTGCCTAATATTAACAATTATGTTAGCCTGAGTACCAAGGTCACTCAATTCTATTTTATTTTTTCTTGATGGTAAAACTTTTAACAAAAGTTATATAATAAAATGTGAGTTTGGTTCCAAGTTTAAGAAAACCTAATCATCAAGTTTCATTTTAGCGGCAAAATAAACCAGTATTTAATTTGTCCACTGAAAGAGATAGCTGATGACAGTACAGTTTGTTTCAACCTTTACCCTTTAACCCATATGATTCTCAAATCCTTTACTGTGGATGTGAAATATTTTGTGCAAACCTGATAGATTTTATGACATTGAGTCAGCTGGTAAATATAAGTTACAACCAATAAAACAGCTCAAAAATTAGAAGAGCCAGTTTATTTTCGTTTGAGAATGTGTTTTTTATATGACTAACTTCAAACAAACCTAGGATTCTAGACTTGAGAAGATGATAAACTATTAAGAGTTAATTTTAAAATCCTTATTAATATATAAAGAAAAATAGTCTTTTAGGTACTGTCTTAGGATTAAGTTATGCTTTTGGTCATGTGAGGAGAAAATATGGTCTATACCAAAGATTGAAAACTGGTCATCAATGAAATGCATCCACATCCATTCACAGGCCTTTTTGTGAGGGCCACAGTGTAACAAGGAACTTGAACTGGATAGCAACATTGAGATATTGTGAGATTTCATACAAAAGGTCCCGATTTCTGGCTGTTCTTGAAAACTCAGAAGATCTGGCAGTATTGGGTTCACATTCCCAAATAGCATTGGTTAGCAACAAATCACTGAGCTAAGGAAAGGCTGCTGCTCCCTTTATATCAGAAATGAACACTTCAGTTTGTCAAAATCCCACCGAGGCCCTTAATTTACCTATCTAGCCTCTGAAGCATGAACTTTTACGACTCATGCTCTGTATGGCTAACTAAATCGCTGAAGACAGACATAACTGCATATTCCATTACTAACATCCATTCAGCATCTACAAGGCATATAAATTAACACTAATTTTTAAAAGTATATTTGATTATAAAATTTATTTTTTATGAAGTCCTTTCTAACAATAAAAGGGATTTATAAAAGTATCTTTCAAAATATTCACCCTACTAACAAATTTATTCATTTAAGTCAAAATAAAGCCAGGTCAAATATGAGCATTCTATCTAATTAATGTCTCTTCTTTGAGAATACCATATGCTTCTTTTACAATATTCCCTTTCTGTGGTTACAGGTAGGTAAAAATTCACCTTAAAACGTGCCCAACACTAGGAGCCTACTTTTATAATTTGTTCCTATAGTCACATCATTAGACTCTTATTTAATATATCATGTTCAATTTCAGGAATACTATCCTGGGTAATTGTTGCTGTATCAATCTACCTAACACACAACTCTGATTAAATCACCACAATGTAAAGAATAAAGTCTATATTACTGAGTTTGGCATTCAAGGCTCTCTTACTTCATTCGAACTCCACAATCCAAACTTGTTTCCCACTAATCTCACTCACATATTTTATACTCAGGAAGGCAGAGCCGACTTCTTGATTTTCGAAAGTGGGGTGTCTTTGACTATACCTCTGGTTCTTCCCACCTAAACTTTAAATTATTAAATTACCTAAATCCCTCCCAGCTTTCAAAACTCAAATTATATGCTTCTCAGATTAAATGATCCCAAGCCCCTACTTTCTTCTCTCCACAAAGCTCTGAATCTCCACTGTACCTCTCTTAGCTTTTAAAAAATCCTTACTTTCTACTTTTATTGTAGCTGTCTCATATATGTCTCACATCCCCTACTACAAGAACACCTTATGGTAGGATGTCTGATTAATCACTAGACAGTTAGTTAATAAGTATCTCTGGTCTACGTGAATAATACCTGTTGCTCTCATTTTGTAGGGTTTGGAAGGTCACTTGCTCTACTGAAACTGCTACAAAACCTTCAGTTTGGCTAACCAAAGAAATAAAAAGTGGCTTCCAAACAGATTCTAAATATTCCTTTGTCCTTTAAAAATATCGAAGGGATGCTGACACGAAATTTCTAAAACTGAATTTGTAGAAATAAGGACACGTGTACTGAAAAGAATGTTTGTGTTCAAACTATTTTCAAAGCATACCAGCATGATTCCACACCGCCTGCTTCCCTTGGCATTTTCGATACCCTAAGCGTAAGCACGAAAAACATTCTTTCACCAATACCATCAGGATTAAACCCGTCCCTCCAATATTCCCTAACAAGGTCCCAAACTGGTATTTTACAGTACGGCTTCTTAAGAGACTAATTTACTCACATTGGCCATTTCTAGCGGAGCGGGCAGACGCAAAGTATCTTTCCTTTTGTAGCGTTATTCCTGGGAAAGGACAAAACAGGCTGCTGACGGATTAAACTCTAACAACAGGCCGCTCGGGTAACGTCCACTGTCTCCCACTGTGTGTCCCTCCATCACCCCAGGCCCCAAACCCACGCTCCCCCGTAACCCTTGGAGGCCGGCGCTCGCCCCGGGCTTCCGCAGGGACAGCCCTCCGCCCGGTGCGGCGGGGCTCGCAGCTCCAAGCCTCCCCGGCTTGCGCCCGCCGAAAACAATGCGAACTAGATGCGAGCGGGGAATGGGCAGCCGGCGGCCAGGACACAGTCCTGAGGGTCGAAGCAGGTATTTTTAACACAGGTCAGGGCTGCCAGACAACAGCTCCAAGCAAAGGTTCGAGTTGAGCTGAAAGGTGAGGAAGCGAAAAGAGCCTAAAGACAGTGACAGGACAACTGGGGCCAGCGACATGGACACTGTGGGAATAGAGGCAATACCGAGAGTTGCGGCCCGAAGACGGGCGAATTTGGAGGGGCTACCGCGGGCGGATACCATCCATACCAGTCACCACCACCACCTCCAGCTGTTCCAGACCCTGACTCTTCCCGCCGTCAAAATGGCGGCGGCCCCAGCACTGGGGGTAGCGCCTACGCTGGCAGCGGCCAGGCTGAAGAAGTTGCTTTCGAGAGCATCGATGCGAAGGATCGTCGAATCGATGATGCGCACGCGTATAGTAGGCCTACTCAGAGCTGACCTTTCATTGGATAGCCCCGGGCCAAAGATGGGGGAGGAGAAAAGGTGAGGAGCGTATGATTTGGAAGAATGACGGCAAGGGCTCCTGATCTGGCTTAGGCGGTCATTTCATTTCTTCATTATAACTCATTGATAAATTCTCCACACCCCATGACTTTCTTACTGCCCCCCCCCAGGCGATGCAGTCTTCTGATCTTTGTATTTTAGTTGTTTATTTTTCATGAAGCATTGTTTTTGAGCAAAGGGCACGTATGTTTTTTTCCTTTGTGTGCCAGACCCTTAATAGGCTCAAAATATATAAACGACTTGTTTATAAATAGTATGTAATTTTCATTTATCAACTGTATTTTTCTTTAAAGATTTTTATTGGGGAATTGGGGGTATGGGAACAGCGCTGGGGAATTGGGGGAAGGGGAACAGACAATTGCTGTCGTTTTTGTTCTTCAGTCTAGTTGTGGAGGACGTTGCTTCACTGGCCCAAGTTGGCACCACCATTACACTCTTCCCAGGCGAGACAGATCGGTCGCCAGCTTCTGGATGGTCGCTCACTGCGGCTGCTGGCTACACACGGTAGCCCATGGCAACCCACTGCCACAGGGGCTGCAGCCTACGCCGTTGCCAGCGACTCATGGCAGCCCAGCTCCAGGTTGAGCTGTTGTTCAGTATCTTAGCTGTGGAGGGCAGTGTCACTGGCCCTCATATGTGGGATCCGAACAAGGGCCCTCTGGCGTCCCAAGCCAGTTCTTAACCATCGCGCCACTCGGCCGGCCCTCAATTGTGTTTTTTTTAATTAACTGAAGTCCATACTTTGTTCATACCGATATCTCTAGTTGGGTCATATAGGGCAAGTTACTTAGACTCTTTCGGCTTTTAGTTTCATCACTTCTAAAACGGGAATAATAATAGTGCGTACCTCATAGACTGTGAACATTAAATCAGTTAATATATAGATAACACTTATATAGCGATATGTGTGCATGTGTGCACGCATATGCATACACACACACACACACACACACACACACACACACACACACACACCCCTCAGAGCTTGGGAGTCACTGAGGCTTCTCAGAAGGATCACTGAGCTGAGTGTTGAATTTACTTAAAACTCATTATTTTTTCATGCCTCTTGATTTCTCTTTCAACTTGGTTTATCTATCCAGGTTATATAACAAGATTTCTGATTGTATGATGATTTGTAAACCTTTTGAGACTGGGAACCCTGGGTATCCATATTTGCCATGATAGCAAATGACCTATCAGGTACAGGTGGGAGATAATTGGAGTCAGTGATCAATGATATGGCAGGAGGCTGTCACGAATAACTTCATAACAGAGGTGATGCTTAAACTGTGTTTTGAAAGATGAGTAGGTGTTTGCCTGAATGCCAAGAGAAAGTAAGGGCTGAGGACAGTAAGGGCTGAAGCAGTGTGAACAGGGATATGAAACCCAAAACACTGTAGGCAGCTGGGGAGACCCACAAGTAATCAAGGGATTGAGTTGGAGGTTTACAGGGGCCAGATCATAGTCTTCAGTGCAACATTACGGTAGATGTAATCTCAGAAGCAATGAGAAGCAACTGGCCAGATTTATGCAGAGTCATGGCATTATCAGATTTGTGTCTTGGGAAGATTCTCTGGCTTCAATGTAGAGGATTGGTTGGAAGGATGTGGGATTGGAATTGGATCAACTGGATAGGAGACTATCGCTGTGTCCATGAGAAAAAACATGAGAGCCTGAACTCAGGGCAGGGGGATGTTGAGCATCAACATGGCACAGCTATCCATTGGTTGTAGATGAGGAAAAGGGGACAAGTCCTAAATTTTTAACTTAGGATAATTGATGAATGGAGTTGCTTTTGCTGAGGTAGGGAATCCAATAATATTAATGTTTGTGGAATGTATGCTGTGTGGTGGCACTTGGATAGGAATTTTGACATCATCTATTTTAATTCTCATAATAATCCAGAAAATGGAGGTATTGTTATCCTCATGTTAAATATGAACTATTAAAGCACAAATAGGTTAAGTGTATTACTGATGCATCCAGGACTGTATTTAAATCTAGGCCTGTTAGGTTAAAAAATAGTGTTCTCTTTTTTATAGATATTCTCTCCCAGAAGGAGAACAGGTTTGAGGAGAAAGATAATGAGTTTGATTTGGGGCATCTTGAGTTTTAAGATGGCTGAAGGACATTCATGTGGCGTTGTCAATAAGTCACTTGATAGTAGTCCTATTGCTCAGGAAAGTGCTATATTTGAAGACAGAGATTTGAGGGTCATTGACATATGGGTAATAGTTAAAGCCAAGGAACCCCTTAACCTGGAGTTCAACAATGGTCTTTATGGGAAGGGAGGAAGATCTGTGAAACTTCTTGAAATATACACAAATGTTTGTAAGTAGATACATTTTTTTTTCCTCCAGGGTTAGGGTACAGAGCTTTTTCAGATTCTTAAAGGGGTTCATGACTCTGAAAAGATCAGGAACCACTAGTGTAGAATATAAAAGAAAAAGGACAAAAGCCAGAACACCAGGAAATATTGATTAAAGGGGTAACAGCAGAAGAAAAAGTAGCAACAGAGCCTGAGAAGTTGCAGTCTGAGGATGGTAGATCAGGTAAGAGAGAGGAGTATTCTAGACATTAAGATGGTAATTGCTCAGTATTATTAGATGCTACAAAAAGGTCTTATTGAGAACCAAAAAACAGTCCATTGTATTTGATAAATAGGGTGACAGTGTCTTTGCCAGAGGAGTTTCCATGGAATGGGGTGAGGTGGGGTGGAATTTTGATTACTGTGAGGATTCAAAGTCTGAAACAGACATCATGAGGACAGACTTAATCTGTTCACTGTATCCCTGGGACTTCACTGTATTCCTGCCACTAAGAGGTGATCAATAAGTAGCTGTTGAAAGTTGAACAGATGAGGAAATGGTGACCAGTACTAACAGGCTACCATTAATAAGCTGTCATTAATTTTTGTTGTTTTTGTTGTTCTATTTTGACTCCGTATACATACCCTTCTTAACATCCGTCAACCAAAAATTTGGATGGGGAAGTAGTAGTAGCTACATTGCATAAATGAAGAAGCTGAGACTCAGCGACGCTATGTAAACTGCCTGATGCCATACAACTACAGGTAGTGAGGACTGTGAAATTCAAACTTGGATCTGTCTGGCTCCAAAATCTTTATTTCTTCCACAACAATGAAACTACGGAGAAGAGAGAGAGATAAGTAGCTGTATCTCAACTGTTATTCCACTTTTCCCTTATCTATTTGCGTTCTTCCTTTTACTCTCTCTCCGAGTGTTCTTATTCTTCAGAGACAAAGCAAGGCCTTTATAGAACTATAAAGATTGATCAAAGTAGCAGATTATGTGATTATTCAGAGGCCAATATGTAATCCTTGGGGTTTTCTGTCTCATATCACTCTCACAGCTGCCTGCATTAATGCTTTTTGATAAACATATGGCTTCCTTTTTATTCTAGAAAACACTAATTCTCCATAACAAAGGATGCATACTTAAGCTAACTAAGGAATACATAGTTATCACTAACTGCTGACAAAGACTATTGTTTTGCAGCTAGCTCTTTATGTTAAGACAATAGGATTATAAAACTAAAAGAGACAAGAGGGAATATTTTCTGCTCAACCAAGCATATCTAAAGCACATTAGAAGTTTAGAGACAATATTCTGTGTTATTATAAGAAAGGCTGCATGGAACTATTACATGGTTGAAAGAAATGACATGTAAAAGAAGGATAATAATAGAAATTACTGAAGGGCATGGATAAAAGAAAAAGCATGTGAACACTTTGGTTTTTATTCTTGGATTTGGTCATAGAACTCAACTGTTCAGAACACATCATTTTGAGTTGCCTGTATCAGTGCTGCAATAGCTCTTTAGTATTTGATACATTAAGATAGGCATATGTTTTGGCCATTTCTAGAAAGCTCAAGGTTTTTCCAGCCATTCATTGTTAGATGGCAATACATGAAATTTATAGAGAAATGTTATGGAGTGTGAATGTTACATGTCTCTAACCTCTCTCTGGAGCACTGACTGTGTGGTTTTGGGACTAGAGAGAGGGAAAGGTTGAATCTCCAAAATGAAACAATTCTAAAGCCACTCAAGTGTTGGTGTTATGAACAATTCTGATGTATTTTTGATGTAGTCCTCTCTTCCTGATTATATTTCAGCAAATAATGCTATTAAAATGTATAGACTATATAGAGGACATAATGGAAGAGGAATCGTTGATTTACTATTTTGGTTTTTAGCTTGCATGTGTTTTATCCAGCCTATCTCCTGGCCTTTAATTGTGATATTAGCTGTAACAACGATCTGTCTGCTCTTCTCTTTGTCTCTCATCATTACAGTGAAGACAATGATATTATCTACTTCATAGACATTTAAAGGATTATATGACACAGTGTATGAAAATAATTTAGCACTGTGCAGGGCACTTAGCAAGTGTACAGTATATGTTAGCTATTGTCTCCATCGCTATCATGAATATTATCATCATCATTACTGAACTCCTCTGAACTCTATTCTTGTAGGGAGGGGATGACGCTTGTAAGGAGCTTTGGTTCCCATATACATGCACAGTGTTTATGGGGGTGATGCTGCCCTGGGCCTTCCTGTCTCTTTGGTACCAGGAAATGGTTTGGTCTTGAAAGGAACAGGCCATGGGTTGAGGTGTGAATTTCATCAGGATGTTGGCCTGCTTTATTCCGAGCTACTTCTTTTTGAGGTGACTGTGGCTCTTTTAGGACTGAGAACTGTAAATAGAGCAGAGAACGGGTGAGGAGAAGATTTGAACAAAATCAGTTTGACCCCTGAGTGAGAAGCATCTG